AGTTTTGTTGTTTCCTATGTAGACTCCCAAATATTTTGCTCCTTCATTATTCCATTTATATTCCATTGGGGTATCATTTCTTGTTTTCCAAGATCCACAGAATAATCCAGTTGACTTGTTTTGATTCAATTTAGCACCTGACTGTTGGCTGTACTGCTGGAAAGCAAGATCGATCTTCTCGAAGTCGTCCTCTTCTGTTATGAAAAAATTAATATCGTCTGCAAAGGCAGTGCACTTAGGTCTGATGTTTGTTGACATTGGTATTAGATAACCTTTGATGTCCATGTTGTTAGACACATACCTCAAAAAGGGTTCAATGGTTAGGATATATAGTGGGCCTGCGATTGGATCCCCTTGCTTGAGTCCTTTCTTGAAAATGAACGGTGTAAGTAGAGCTGAGCCAATTTTGACAAAACCTTGTGTGTTTGTCAACAACGATTGGACTCCAGTGCATAGTTTTGGACCAAAACCTTGTATTTCTAGAAGATGGAATAGATATTGATGTGAAATATTATTGAAGGCTTCAGTTTGGTCCATACTTAGGATTGCTAGAGGTGAGTTGGATTGGTTGGCATGGCGAATGATGTTTCTTATGAGGTGCAAATTATCGTATATTGTTCTTCCTGGTACTGAGTAGCTCTGATCTGAGGAAAGTAACTTGGAGATGACGTTTGCTATTTTCCTACTATAAATTCTTGATATAATTTTATAATCAGAGTTCATGAGAGAAATTGGTCTCCAATTCTTCAGCTGGTTTCTGTCTCCAGATTTGGGAACGGGTTTGATGACAATTTTCTTCATGCTTGCGGGTAATCTTCCTGTTTCTTCAAAATGTTTATAACCTTGATGAAAAATATTCTTGAGTTGAGGCCAAAAGAATTTGTAAAATTCAATTGGGAGTCCATCAATTCCAGGTGCTCGATTTAGCTTTGCCATGTTGATAGATTCCTCGATGTCTTGTTCTAAAATTGGTGCATCACATAAATCTCTGTCAGTTGGAGACAGGGATGGTAGATTTTGATAAATTACATTATCTGGCTGGAGTCTATTAATATTTGCATCTGAGAAGGATGCTTTAAAACTTTCTTGTACTACAGGGAAAATCTTATCTTTATCACTGGTAAGCTGGCCTTCTATTTCCAACTGGTCCATGGATACTGATGGCTTAGCCTGCTTGGCAAGGCGTAGAAAGAATTTTGATTGACAGTTGGCTTCATTGGATAACATTGATTCAATTAGTGATAATTTGTTACTTGAATCTTTTCTATATAATTCTACTATTTTTTTCTAGTTGTATCAGGCTTTCTTCATCTCTTCTTGACATTTGTGATTTAGATTGGATGAAATTTATTTGAGCTTGAAGGGTTGTGAATTTTCTCTTGCTTGTAGATGAAATATTTCATGAAACGTTGTGATGCTATTTTAACTTCTTCTTTGAGTTCATCCCATAATTTACAGATGTCGCAGTTTGGTCTTTTTGATTTTTCTTCATAAAAGGAAATGATGTTGTTGATAATTTCTTGATATTGTTTTGACTTCAAAGTAGCGGTGTCCATCTTCCAGTAGGGCGGGCTGTACTGAGGTCTTGTGGTGTTGAATGTTATATTGACTGCAGAGTGATCAGAAAATGAAGGAACTATTGCAGTGTTTCTTATCATATTGAGGTCCTTATTTTTTACATATATTCTGTCAAGTCTTGACATGGGATGGTTTTGTTGCAGTCCTCTGAAGGTATATTGGCTCTTGTTTGGGTTGAAATCTCTCCAAACATCTGACAGATTGTGTTGACGGATCAAGAGCTTCATTTTGTTGGCAACTTCAATTCTTGTCTCAGCGCAATTTAATCGGTCATTTTTTCGACAGTAACATTCCAGTCTCCACCAATGATGAATCTTGAAGAGTCTTCAGTATTTGTAAGATAAAAATCAATCTTGTTGATAACTTGGATTGCATTTGGAGTAGCTTGAGGCATGTAAACATTAACAAGATGATAAATTATACTTTCAATTTTGATTGTTATAACCTGTAAGTACCCAGGGGCAAGTACTTCATGAGAAATAAATTCTACTTCATCAAAAAATTGTTGTTGGAAAGCAATTGCAACACCTGAAGAGGCTTGGGTTGGTTTGTTGATAAAAAATTTATAATCTTGAGGGTAAAACATAACTGCATTCTCTTGAAGGTTTGTTTCTTGAAGGAATAAAATTTTGCTTTTGTTGTCTTTGCTAAATCAAACAATGCCAATTGTTTTTGGTGACTGACTAGCCCCTTGACATTTAAGGTCAGGGTTGAAGCCATGACTAGAAATGACAAAATTAGTAACATGAGGTAGTAGAGAAAATTTTCTTAGATTTCATCAGGTTGTTTTAAGGCTTGGATGGCCCTGTCTAGTCTCCTTGAGAGATTTTGATCAGGGCATAAAATGAAAGCACGCTCAAGCTGTCTTAGTAGTTCATTTTTATCCCTCGTTATTTGTGCTGCTACTTTTTTAGAGTTGGCTTTTCCTCTGCATTTATCAAGAAAATCTTCAAACTCTTGTGCTGATAGTTTTGAGTCATCAAAATTCATTGTTTTAATGAGATTTGAACGAACAATTTCTTCTTTCTTCTGTCTTCTTTGTTGGCTCTTTGACATTACTTTCTCATAGGAATCTGAATCAGTTTCTACTTCCATTTCATTGGAGCTGTCAAAACTTTGTTGTGATGTATCAAGTTCCATTTCAGCAGATGAGTCATGCTGACTTGGTTTAAGCGACTTCAGTTCTGACTGTAGGGTTTCTTCGGGTGAATGCTTTCTCTTCTTTGGGCTTCAGCTTCATTGTGAATTGTAACACTTTGTGGTTGAGAAAAATCATACCAGTATGTGTTTTCTTGATGGGTTTTGTCAATTTCTTCTTGGATGGGAACTGATTGGTTTTCTTCTTTCTTCTGGGGTTTCTTGAGTGACAATTGGGGGATCTTCTTGAGATGGATGTTCAATGTTTGATGAGAAAGAACTTGTCCTGCTTCTTGAGGGTGAAGAAAATTGGGGCATGAGATTGTTAATCGAATCCAGATTTGGCCTTGTTTGGGGAGTTTTGTTGACGGCATGGCTGCTCTCTCCAGTTGAGTGAACAAACAATCTATGTGCTGCTGGGGGTCTGAAATTAGACATAAGTGGGAAGTCTGCATTCTGTTGTTCTTTTCTCTTGCATTTTTCTTCGACATGTCCTGGTCCAAGGCAGAAATTACATACCAGCTCATCCTTGTCGATGTAGATGGTATATTTGAATCCATCTGGTGATGTGATATTCATTAGAGGTGGTAGTTGAGGTCCTCTTCCTTCTTCGTGAAGCATCATGTAGACAGATCTTCTCCATGTACGTATGTGCTTGAGATCATCATGAGAAGTAGTAACTTTGAGTCTTGTTGGTGCAGAAGCGAATGTACCATAAGGTTGTAGCAAAATTTTTAGTTCTTCATCGGATAGTTCTGGTGGGCAATTTGAGATGACAACTTTTTTGGCTTCTGAAACATAGCGACGAATAGGGACAAATTGTGCTCCCACACTTATCCCTCCTCCCTCACATAATTTTCCACTGTTGTTTGATCAGTTAGGTATAGACATATTCTAGCACCACCACTAAGTCTTGTCACATAGTGTATGTTGTGGCCTCCGATGAGGTCAGCCACACTTCGAAGGCACTGATCTTGAGAAATTCCTCTTGTATCTTGAAGCACTACTGCACATTTTCTTGATGGACGATAGTTTGGGCTCTCTTGTCGGTTGACACCTGCTGGTCCTTTGTTGTTGTTTGGATCAGCTGTTTGTTGGCGGGTATCATGGCGGCCTTGAGGCGTCATGTTTGGACGGGATGTAGAGGTTAGGTTGTTGGTCGATGTTGGATTCTGTTGAAATTGGGTTCTTGGTTGGGCTTGCCAATGCGATGGTCCAGTCCTGACGACAGCAGAGAAGGTTTGGTTCATTGTTGTTGGAAATTGGTCTTGATGAAGCGACGAGTCGTTTTGGCGGGAAACCATGGTGGTTCACAGCCGGGTTGGGGACGGAGGAAAAAGGAGTTTTCGCTCCATCCCGCGACGGTTTCGTTGAAACTTTTGTCTTGAGATAATCCTCAACACTAGTTCTTGCAGTTTTTCACTAATTTATAGTTGGATTTGTGGAATTGCCTTGTCAAAACAATGTTTTAAGAGAGCACTTCGCGGGGACCTCTTCACCTACTCAAGAGAGAGAGAGAGAGAGAGAGAGAGAGAGAGAGAGGAGAGAGAGAGAGAGAGGAGGAGAGAGAGAGAGAGAGAGAGGAGAGAGAGAGAGAGAGAGAGAGAGAGAGGCCCGACCGCACCGCTCCGATTCATCATCCGAGGCGTGACGGTCACAGCAACTCGTATCGCGGGCATCGCGTTCAACACGGCAATGCCACAACGACAGACCATTACGGGTCGCCATTAATTTATCGACGGTGTTTTGTTTGTGATTGGCTTTCAAACGGATCATGCCCCACAGTGCCCCATCCGCGCTGCACTTTCAATCGGCCCGATCCACTCGGCCGCCTCGTCCCGTGATGAGCTCGAGATGAGTTTCCAAACGGGCCTAAAACACAGCCCGACGCGCCAGCGCGCCACGCCAGAAAAAAACGGCTCGTAACGTTGGTCATAATGGAGCAGTGTGTTAACACGGCCGCGATCGCGCAGCCCGCCTTGATGAACTGGCACGGCATTAAGACGCAGTTACACAGCAAAAAAAATTATCATTTTTTTCGAGTAAGTATTTTCAGGGACGGGCCAAAAAGTGATTAATGGTTGGATTTGTATTTTAAGTACTTTTTTACAAAGTAATTGTTGTTGTTGTTTGGCGTAACCCTTCCGAGGAGCGTTTTACGGGCAAACCCCATCCCGCCACGGCGTTGCCAGGCCCTGACGACTCCTCGCTTTCTTTTCTTCGAACTGACGTCAAAGGCATCAGTCTACTACAGTCTACAGAAACACACACACACACACACTCACCGGAAGGTCCACCAGATGTTGAAGCACATCGTGTTCAGCCAGAAGAACGCGGCCAGGAACAGGAAGTGCATCAGGATGGCTGCAAAAAAAAAAAAAGGCGAAAATATTTCGGTTATCGCTCGCCTCGCCAGCACTGTCGGCGGCCAATTCGACGGTCAATTCCTTTGGGCTGTTTCTTTCGACGCGGGGGGCCTGGCCAGAAACGTGGGCGGCCAATTTACAAGGTGGCAAGTTCCAGGCGTTCGTTCGAGCGGGCCCTTTGGCCCAAAACGATCTTAAACCCGGGGCCCGGGGCCGGGTTACGAGCGTCGAGCGGCGCGTTTAAAACTGTTTTATAAATGGGCGCGGGGGTTCGGCCGTCTCGGTCCGAGCGGCGCGTAAAATCTTTTGAGGGAAAATCTAGGATGGCCGCCCTGGCCAGCCCCCACATATTGCCGGCACGTAAACTAGGAAATGGCCTCCCTCGGCTCTCTCTGAGGCCCGGCTCTCAACACTCAGCTCTCTCTCTTTTCCTTCTCTCTCTCTCTCTCTCTAGAGAGACGGCAGGGTGGCGTTTACCATCCGACGGGGGCGCTTTTAGCCCGATTGACTGACTGGCTCGGAGGGGCCGAAGAAAAGCGGGAAACACAAGCGGAAAAAAACGGTAGCCTGCATTTCGTCACTCTAGCGATACGCGTCTTTAGAGAGGGGGAGAGTCAACCCGTCAACCCTAACGACCGCCGCGCAGGATCAACGGGAAATAGCACTGCACATCAAAAACAAAGAAAATGGAAAAACTTTTTGCACAGCAGGTGGTGACCGAGCGTGCACTGAGTCATCCGTACTGCGCCGCAGATAGGCCGACCGGCCGACACGACGCGACGCGGCCAAACACCAGCCAAACACCCAGGGCGAATACTCGGAAGACCAGCTGCACAGCCAACCTCGGCGAAAAATAAAAATCTCTTTCTATCTTTCTCCCTCTCTCTGGCTGGGCTTCACCCTTTCCGCCTTGCGCTGCCCGCTGCTCGCGCCACGTTCCGCGAGGCCGTTGCCCCCACGGTGCAGGCTGGTGCAGCACGGGGCAAGCACGGGGCAGCAGGCACGGCGCAGCAGGCTTGGGCAGGGTCATGAACTTGAGATGCAGGTGCGCGGTGCCGGGCCGCGCATGCGCCCCGCGCCCTGCGCCTGCGCCCCGCTACGCCAGATAACACTCACACTCACACACGGGGCGCTGCTGGGGCCCTTTCCAGCGAGTGCCCCAAACAAACAGGCGGCGGGCGGCACGACACGGGGCGCGGCCTGCTGGCTGGGGTGTTCGATAAGGCCGCCGACGGTTCGACACGACGGCCGGCCGCGCCACTCGCTCTGTCTCTCTCGCACCCTCAGCCCCGTGAGTGCGACAGAGACAGAGCAACGCCGGGCCGCTGCACAGTGGGCCAGAAGACCGGCGGAGGCGGACAAAACTCTAGACGCGTTTCGAGCTCCAGAGTCGCTAAATGGGACTCGAACCGAACGTGTGACCCCACCAATGGATTGCTCTCCGAACGAGGAATCCATTGGTGGGGTCACACGTTCGGTTCGAGTCCCATTTAGCGACTCTGGAGCTCGAAACGCGTCGAGAGTTTTGGCCGCCTCCACCGGTCTTCTGACCCACTGTGCGCTGCTCGGCAGCCCGCCTATCTGCAGCGAGCTAATCTGTAGGTATTATTGCGGCGGTGAGTCAGGGAGGGCACCAATCCAACAAAGCGACGCGGCTACCGTGCTCCGTCTCTCTCGCACTCATGGCGCGCCCCGTGAGGGTGCGAGGGAGACAGAGCGACGGAATGAGTCGCGTGCGGCCCGAGCGTGGACAAGTTTGACGGCAGCGACCGTGCGCGGGGCGTCGCGGCGCCCGGTTCGGCTCGTTCCCTTCCCCGCCGGTTCCGCGACATTTCGGCCACGGGGTTACGGTGACGGACCGGCGTGCCGACGAGAGGAAGGATACGAGGCGGACACACGAGGTGGGAACAGGCGTCGCCCCGCGGTGCGAGTGCGAGAGAGACAGCGCCAGGACGCCGAGCAGCGGTGACGGGGCACTTAGCACTCCAACACGCTCAGTGCCCCACTTGCCCGGCAGCCTGGCCTGGCCGGCCGGGACAGGCAGGACCAGTGACCTCCCTGGGGGCCTTCCAGAGCCCCCCAAGGCCCTTCGGGGTCTCTTCCAGGATCCTCCTCGACTTGAACTCACTGACGTACTGGTCCACTTTGCTATAGAAAGTACACCGAAGGCTGTCTGGATGCGTTTCAGACACATTCTGAAACGTTCAAGGACGAAGGGCAGGCGTCCGGAAGCAGCACCCTGATCAAGGTCAACTCCTTCCGGACCCAGCAGTCCCGGCCGGCGCCTCCTGGAGGTCGCGCTCCCGGCCGACATCCACACACATCGCGCCGTAGCGCGCCGCATCGCGCGCAGGTGTCAAGGCGGGCCCGGCCGGCGAAGCCCAAAGCGACCCCAAAACGCCTTACAAGGCCGGCCGGGCACAGGTGGGCCCCGGTGGGGCCGTCGGGGGCAGGCACGCCAGGCAAATAACGCACTGGGAGAGGCAGCGATCAAAGCGGTACCGTTGCCTAGAACGGGGACCGCGCCACCATCATCACCATCATCGTCGAGTCGGTGTTATCGGCCAACCCGCAGCGGGCCGCCGAGACCGCGCCGCCATTAGAATCAGCATACATCCCAAATCATGATGCATCACTTGGTCGCCATCAATAACCATGATGCGGTCGGAGGGCTTCCCGCACGCCGCGGCACGACGCGGCACGACCGGGAGCGGCAAAAAGAAGAAATGGTTCGACAAAAGTGAGCCGGCATGAAATATGAATGAGTTTGCCGCGCTGCTACCTGGCAGGCCGTGCCGTGCCGTGCCGAGCCGAGCGAAGGGGCGGTGGCGGCGTCGATGAGCCGTCCCAAATCATTACCGCAATCAATCCTGCACGGCTGCCCCGCCCCGCCCCGCCCCGCCCCGCCCCGCCACCGCGTTCCCGCGGATCGTCGCCACCGCCACGGACGGCGCGAGCGAGAAAGCTGCGTCGGGTGGCATCGCTGCCGAGGCGAGGAGCAAACGCTCTTGACAGAAAAATGCTTTCGAGCGAAGGAAATGCTTTAGGGCGAAGGAAACCCATCTCGGCAGAAAAACGCTCTGCCGGCCGCCGCCGCCTTGCAGTACTCCTCTCCTCGGTGGATTCCGGGTCGAGCGGCGCGGCGCTCCGGCGAAGACAAAGAGAGCCTCCTCTTCCACCTTTCACCGGCCAGCTGCAGTGTGTATACCGCACGCGCGAAATAAAAACAGCTTTTTTTGCCGGCGAGTGTACGCGCGGCGCGATACACCTGACTAAACGAGCCAGCCCCACAGGCCGCGCGGACGGAAGGGAACGGAAGGCCACTTTGGCCAGCGCCACGCGTCCTCTGTGCGGTCGCGGCGTCGCGGCAGTACTGCCAGTGTACCAGCCGCTCACCAAAGCATCGCCATCGCACAATGCCCGCCCGTAAAAGGTTGGGAAAATATTATTACGGCCAATGAGGCTGCAGCCGCAGCAAGGCCGCGAGCAACGCGCGCGCACTCACACATGCACACACGCACACACACCCAGGCGCACACACACACATACAGGCAGAACCAAGTGGCAGTAATTCCCTGATGCCTAAACGGGTCACAAAGCGCGCGCACCACATTTAATTCCGGTTTAAACTTGAGCTTTGTTCCGGAGACACTGGCAGCGGCGCGCCAGAACGCCCCGCCCCGCCCCGCCCCCCCCCCCCCCGCCCTGCGCGACCCTGAGCAGAGCTCGAGACATGCGCACGTACTACAACCACGACACACGTGCTCGCTGGCCAAACAGTCCCGCCACGACACCGTTAGAAAAATAAATACAGCAAATTTCGACCAACTCTACAGCGTCGCGCAAATCGACCAGTGTCCATACTATAAATGCGACAGTACCCAGTGACACGGCAGGCGTGCATCTTTTTCTTTTCCTCTCCTTTCTGCGCCGTGGATGTGAAAAGAAAGAAAGAAGTCCTTTTCCAGTGGCGTGGAGGGAGAAAGGAGAAAGGGCATCGACGACTAAAGACGACGTTGGCGCACCTGCTGCTCGCTGCTTACTCAGCGCGGTGCCCTCCCTATTAGGCCGGGGCCTTGCGAGGCCTTGGCCGCCTGGCTGCCTCGCCGGGGACCGTCCGGCCAGGGCCCAGCCAGGACTCCAGCCTGGAGTCCAGCGGCTCCAGCGCCGCCACACTGTCGCATAAACTGGAGGACGGCCCGGGACGGCCCCGCCCACCTGCAGTCTCCTGGAGTCTCCTGGATTCTGCTGGCTGGAGTCTCCTGGAGTCTCCTGGATTCCACTGGAGCCTCCTGGAGTCTGCCCTGGTTGCATTGATTGGCGGCCAATTTGAGTGAGACTGGGCGCGTGGACCCGGAGGGGCTCGGCGCCTACATACGGACCACTTTGCAAGTCGACACACACACCAATCAAGTCCAAGACGCGTCCAAAGTGGGCGGAACGGTAGGGTCCACCGATGAGATAGAACCCTTCAATTGAACTTTATCCAGACCATGGCATCATAATAAAAATGAACTGCCGACCAAAACGGCCCGCAAATGTTTCGTTTCCGGTTCCGTTCGAGGAATCCAATGACACATGAAGTCGATTCACCCCCCAAATGTTCACTAGAAAAGGCAACGCCACGCCACGACAGTACTAAGCCGCCCCCTCGGCCGCCACCATGCCCCACGCAGTGCCGCAGGGCGATACAGTGTATTGGCAAAGAGGCCTCGCCCCGCCCCGCCCCGCCCCGCCACTCCATGGTTAGGCCGCGGGCACCTGAGGGAGCCTGCGCTGCCCTGGCTGCCACCATGGCTGCCACCTGCGAGGGGAATTAGATTAATATCGCCGGCTGAAAGGCGAGGCTCGGCGGAACAAAAAAAGGTGAGGGGGATATTCATAGCCGGCGAGGGGTCCTTGTAGTGTAATGACAGTGGCAGTGCTGGCAGTGCGGGCACCGTTACCGTAATGAGAAATAATAATTAAGCGCGGGGTGTCGATGGCCACGCCACTGCA